GCTCCTTTAAATAAAGGCTAGTTTGGGCTTTTGGGCTATGCTTTAATGCAATCCGAATCTATTTGAAACAAAAATTTTGATCAACAAAATGTACTGTGGTGCCGGGGTATGAATGCGAGGCTTGTGATGTCCATCCATCTGTAGTTAGATGTCAAAATTCATCTTGGTTTAAAAGATGCATTACTTTTACTTTAAATGATTAAAATTTAAGTGGCATTATTTTATACGAAAACTATCATCAACAATTTGTATTTGTTATCAAACAAAGCTATCATTTCAATAAAATACTTATTATCAACTATCGAGAGCAATTGACCTGTTTGAAGAACAAAGTTACACATAGATTCCTCTAAATCTCTATATTTCTGCGAACTTGAACAATATGAGTGAGAGTTTGCAAATGCAGCTTTGATAGATACATGACCAGTTATTGTATTTTAGCTTTTTATTGCAAATTTTGTTTGTTAAAGTATCTTTATATTTATGCATTGTTATTGTAGAGTCATTGTTCTTTTCAAAACAATTCCAGACTTTATATTTTTTGAATGTTTCGATTCGACATTTTATTTCTACCATAAAAAGAGATTAAGAATAAAATAGCTATTACAATTAAGTCAAAAAAGGCTTTTAAGTGTGTTCAGATAAGAATTTCTTCATGCAGAAGTAATGTCCTAAAAGATTTGCACGAGTACCTATTATTATTATTATTAAAGTTATTCTAATCGTTATTAATTTCTAAAGGGAGTTAATCCAATCATTTAAAATGTCCATTGGGAATTATTATTATATGTATCAATCAATAAAAAGAATTTGATTGAATTTATTGAATTATTGAATTTTAAATGAATTAAAACAGAGAGAATTAAAAAAAAAAAGATTCTCTCTGTATCATTTATCAAAACAATCAAAGTAAAAAATTCGTAAGGTGTAATTTTTGTGGCGTATCAAGGTGGAGGCTGGTAGGGCCAAACTTTTTTGTGGATTTCAGATTTATAAAACCTTGTATCTTTTTGGCATTGTTAACTGATGACACATTATTAAATAGTTTTTTAAAGAATTAACTTTTTATAACGAGTCAGTATAACGAGAAAAAATAAACATGAATGTAGTGGCACAGCATACAGTAGGCTTAGAGCTGAGTTTATGTGAAACAGCAAATTAGGTTCGATGTTCGGCTATTTTGGTTGAATTAAAAACCGAGCTATGAAAAATGATCTTGCGCATGACTCAATCTTTACAAATATTTTATCTTTATAAAATAATCTACTTATATCTTTACTAATTAGTCAGCATCATAATAAAATTAAATATTGACAAGTTAAATCAAACGAAAAGATAAAGATAAGAATTTTCTCTCGCATTAATGTTCAATAAACTCTCACTGAGAATATATCGAAGATTAACATATCAGAGAACGGATATAAAAAATGATATTCCATTAACTCCAAATCATTTTTTGTTTGGACAATTTGGAGAACAATTTGCAACTGACTCAGTTCAATCTAATTGCTATCATCCTAAAAAATGCTGGCGTCGAGTGCAAGAACTACTACGTCATTTTTGGAAAAAGTGGATTTGAGAATGGCTTCCATCTTTATCTAAAAGATATAAATGGAATCAAGAAAATAACAAAATAAAAACTGATGACATTGTGTTAGTAATTTCTCCAGATACACCTAGAGGACATTGGCCACTTGGTAGAAATATGGAAGTCTTTGAAGGTAAAGATAGACGTGTAAGAGTTGTGAAAGTCAAAGTTGGCAAAAAAGAGTTTGACAACTAAGAATATTTGATAGACTGGAGTCTATTAAAGAGGGGGAGAATGATTGGAAGAAAACTGAATTAGCATAAAAGAAAAACAATATTCCAATACCAAGATAGATATAAAGTAAATAACACCAATATGGCTATAACGAACTAAATAACAATTATATGGCAACTATATAAACAATATTGTTTACTAAATGTTTTTTGTATAAATAGAGTTTTGTTGTTGTTGTTTTTCAGATACAAAAATATAAAAAATATATACTTAAAATAAAATATAAAATATAAGTGATATAGTTAATGTAAAGAAGGTTAAGATCTTAAAAATATAAGTTATAATACATATTCCGTATTATTTGTGATCGCCATCGGATCAATGGTCACTGCTCAAGTGAGCTTGAGAGTTTTATTTATCAAAATACAATCTTGTGTGACTGGCCATTCAGCAAACTAAAATACAATTTTGTGTGACTGGTCATTCAGCTAACTAAAATCCATATTCTATAATTGTTCCTTCATGTTTTTAATTTGTTTTTATTCACTTACTTTTTTTTTTTTTGTAAACCAAATTATACAATATTCATGTTTGACCTATGTTTTTCCTAAGTAGGATACTTCAAATTACCTACAAATTTTCTACTTATTCTAACAACTTCTAGCTTAACAAGTGGATTCCATTAAATACAAACCAATCTTAAATCATTAAGAACTTACAAAAACTGTAGCTTATGTGTGTACACAACTTTGTTTATCTCAAAAACTATTTATTTTTAGAATATTTAAATTTTAAAGATGAATTGTTTAAAAAAATTTCTTTACAGTAAGGCAATTAACATTGTGTTATTGTTTTATATGGATTGGTTTTTTACCACATTTATTTCAAAATTTCAGTCAATATCGTCTATTGTAGTTTAGTTATTATTTTATCTTTTATATTGTTATACTATTTTAATATATTTATTTTAACTTTATATATCTGTACTTGGTTTATTGTCATTTTTTTTCAATTTTTAAAAATTGCAACATATCCTATTAATGAAATTGCATAATACACCAACTCTTTAACACATTATATAATAGATAGTATTAGGGTAGAGAGTGGCAGTAAAGAAGTCGATCAATTGGGTAATACAAGTCTTTTAGTTTTTCTGAATAATGATTTTGATAAAAAATTTATTCTCAGTATTTTCATGGTGATTAAAATAACTTTTTAAATTTGCTTTAAAAGGCAAATTCATTCTTGAGTATATTTTTTATTCAAATTGGTGCATTTACATAAAGTTTCATATCAAAAAACTCTAACTTCAAAAAAAGGTATTAAAAATAGACTTTGACATTTAGAAAATAGGTAAATAAATCTGGTAAATAAATTCCCAATAATTAGATCCAGGTAGTTAAAGATGAAAATATGTATGTTTTATTTGAAGTTTACAACAGTCAGGTAAGACAATAAGAGCCTATGTAACAATATGCATTGTTAATATTTATTAAGTATATAATAACCTTTAAAATAAATATAATATAAATTTAAAACCTTTAAAATAAAAAAATAAAAGTTATAGGTATACTTTTGACTTTAAAGATTCATTGGTTGGAAATGAAATGATATTTTATATTGCAATCATACCAGTAGATAACACAGTGTAGCAGTTTGAAAGCATAGCAAATCATTATTTTTGATATTTAATTTCTTTAAGAAAATACATTAGTTAAATTATAGCATTTTTAGAACTTGAATTATACTTGGATACAATAGAAAACATATAAACATAAATACAAATATCTTCATAATATGATGCATTTCATTACACAAATATCTTCACAAGAACTTGAATTGTGCTTCCATCTAATGTGTTTTCACAAAATTCCATTTAAGATGTTCTGCATAATTCCATCATGCTTAGATGTTTTATAAATAGTTGGACTTTCAAATTGGATCATCATATATTAAATATGATTTTGCAGTTTTTTTTAGTATTTTCAGATTTTCACCTTTTGATCACCCTTTGATCAAATAGTTTAAATACAATCATATCATTATGTAATATTAATTTAATGTTAATAGTATACAATCATATCATTATGTAATATTAATTTAATGTTAATAGTATACAATCACATCATTATGTAATATTAATTTAATGTTAATAGTATACAATCATATCATTATGTAATATTAATTTAATGTTAATAGTATACAATCATATCATTATGTAATATTAATTTAATGTTAATAGTATACAATCATATCATTATGTAATATTAATTTAATGTTAATAGTATACAATCATATCATTATGTAATATTAATTTAATGTTAATAGTATACAATCAAATCATTATGCAATCTTAATTTTGTAAATTAAGATTGTCAAATAAAAATGTCACATAGACTTGCATTACCTCACTAAATGAGGTAATGTCAATTAAACATGATTCTCTCTAAACAAAAACACTAAAAATTATGAATATTTTTTTTACTAAATTCACTAAAACTAATGTCAAATCATAATTTTAAGATTAGGTTTTTGTAGAAAAAAAAAAGATTTTTTACTATATATTTTTTGATCTTAAAAGAAGTTAAAAGAAGCTAAGAAAGGCTCTAATTATCTCACCCTAAAGAAAAAATCTATATGCAAGTAAAAGGTCTACATTAAGTATTGTATAACAATAACAAATAATAACTTTAAAGTCAGAAATGAATTTATATATATATATATATATATATATATATATATATATATATATATATACATATATATATATATATATATATATATATACATATATATATATATATATATATATATATATATATATATATATATATATATATATATATATATATATATATACATATATACATATATATATATATATATATATATATAAAATGAATTTTTATATATATATATATGTATATATATATATATATATATATATATATATATATATATATACATATATATATACATATATATATATACATATATATATATATATACATATATATATATATATACATATATATATACATATATATATACATATATATATATATATATATATATATATATATACATATATATATATATATATATATATATATATATATATATATATATATATATATATATATATATATATATATATATATATATATATATATATATATATATATATATATATATATAATATAAACTTTTATTTTCATATTTAATAATAGAAACTTACTTTTAACTAAATGAACATTTTCTTCGTTATCTTTATTTTTAATCTGTTCTCTGATTAACTTCTCTTTTAACACTATTATTTGATTGTGCAATTCTTCTGCTTCATTATGATTAGGTTCATCTAGTTAAAAAAATCAAGACAACATAATTTTATTATAACAAAATACTTTTAAGGAATTCATTAAATATTAAAAAACATAATAACATTAAAAAAGAAAACAAAACTAACAACAAAACATAACAATTTAAAAATAAAAAAACCCAAAATTAACAACCACCATTACAATATCAAAACAGTAATAATATTAAATAAAACACAACAAAAACATAAAAAACTAAAAAATCAATATTTGATTCATGATGTGATGTATTTCATTACAAATATTTTCATAACATGATGCATTTCATTACAAATGTCTACATAATATGATGCATTTCATTACAAATATCTAGGGATGTACCGAAGCTAAAATTTTGCCGAAGCCGAAGCTTCGGTACTATATATGCTTAAAATTTAATCAGCATTCAGATCAGCAGGGGTGTAAAACAAAAAAGGTACCAAAACTAAGGTCCTTGACTAATAATATAGAAAAATCGTATAAAAATGAGGACACCAGTCAGGGTTGGTGTCCCAGGCAGAGCAAAAGCTCTCAGCACCCCTGTTAGAAAGTTTCTCATTATGTCTGTGTATATATTTTCTGTGTGCAAACCATATTAATGTTATATAGCATCTTTTCATGTGCTGTACATTTTATTTTTATTTTTAATGCACCGTTTGTTAATAGAAGTGGATAAAAATCTCTAAACATTACTAGAGTAAATTTATCTTTTGCACTTGATCACTCTTTCTTTAAATAAACACTCTTAGCTGATCTAGTTGTATCTACAACATAAAAAATCTTACAAACACACTTTATCTTTTTATTGCTATTTATTTCAATATCTTTTTTTTACTTCTCTGTATTCATTAAACGGACAGTTTCTAAACTAAAAAAAACCCAAGTTAAGACCATTTTTTATTCCACTACAACTGTTGTGAACCTGGTGCTAAAAAAAAGTACAAATGATAGATTTCTCTCTAACTTCTTTTTTACACACTTTTAATTTTTTTTTTTTTTGATTATTTTTAACGTTACACTACATAACATTTTCTTTAGCTTCTTTTAATCTTTTACACTCTGAAATCTTAGTACTCATTCTTCTTCTGTCTCTGTAAGGGATAAATCTGCATCAGTATTTGAAATCAAATATTAACTATCTGTGATAAAAGCTTCCATAATAATCTAACAAATCTATAGAGTGAGCTTTAAATAAAATAATAAATAGAATACTTTATAAATTTTTTATTTATAATTATATTATTATTTACTTTATATTTATAAACAAACAGGGACTGAGCAGGCTGATATTTATTTGATTTAATTTAAATAAATTTTGATGACAAATATAAGAGCTCAAAGTAATCAAAGCTTCAACCTTTAATTTATTTTAAATAAAATTTAAAAGTTTTCATAATATCATAAGAAGAAGCCAGAATATAGATTTACATGTTTAATATATAAATTCAATTTAGAAGTATTCATAATGTTAATAAAAGATCAATGATAATTATTATCATTGTTTTTCTTTTTCTTTTAATTTATCTAGTTCTTGTTGACTTTTTTTTTCTTTATTTATTCTCCTCATTTATATTTCATTTGCTTTTCTTCCTTTTTGTTGTTGAGAACTTTACGTTTTTTATGTGTCACTCCATTGACTAGTTTGTATCTATATAAGTGACACTTAACCAACTTCTGTAAATTTATGATGAAAAGTTGTAACTTTTTATTAATATGGTTAAATAAAATTTTTTAAAATTAAACATCACACAATTTAAAATAGTAGCAACGTATCTTTAAAAGTGAGATTACAAAGGTTTATAGATCAAATGTTGAAACCAAATTTTGTTCTATTTGCGGTAACCCCACACAATAATTAATATGAATTCGTTACATAATACAAATTAAGGTTTTAAAAACTTTTAGTTTGTTTTAAATTATAAGGTTTTTATTCTGCATAGAAATGCTGATTCAGTTCATCTAAAGTCACACTTGGAAGCTTTCAAAGTGTATGAGGACCTTCCCTAATTTTATTATTATTTTCAAAATATTTTTACTTATTTATTATTATCCCTTCCATAACAAAACACTTGGAAGTAAATAATACTAAGTATATGGTATAGACTCCAACTTTAACTCTGTAGTCCTGAATTTATAACTTAATTAGACATTGGCAATTAGTGTATTTTTATAACTTGTCCAACAGTAGCTTAGAACTTTAATTGCTTAAAATTTTTTGCCGAAGCTTCGGCAAAGTTGCCAAAGCCGAAGCTTTGGTAAATCCCTACAAATACCTTCATAATATGATGCATTTCATTACAAATATCTTCATAATATGATGCATTTCATTACAAATATCTTCATAATGTGATGTATTTCATTATTGTAAAGATTAAAGCTTTTTAATATTTTAATGTTAATTTTTTTAATGAAATAAAAGTTAGACCACCACAATATTACCACATACGTCCACAATATTATCCTGGTACAAATGTCTAAATAAAATATTAACAAATAAGCCTAATACCTGCTATTTTTAGTTGCAATTCTGAAGTAATGGATTCCAATACATCTAATAATATGTTAAAAACTTTATAACTAACAAAAAATAAGAAGAACAATTAAAATACTTTTAATTATAGAAAAAGTTTACTGTTAACTTGTCCAACCATTTTGATGAAAGATAAAACAATCAAATCAATTTTAGCTTCTTGCTCTAAAAAAAATCCATATAAGGTGCTAAGCAGAAAGATTACCGTTATTTTTTTTTAATTATAAAAATTTATAATTATAGTGTGGCACAATATTGATTGTTTTTTAAAAAAAAGGCAAAGAAAAATATAAAACAAAGCACAAATATAACTTTTATCACAAGTGTTACATTCTTTACAAGAATCTAAAGTTAATAAAAATAATGAAAGTTTTAGGTTATGTTACTTATAGGTATATTTGTACAATATAGAAAAATAGTTTACTAATATAAGACTCGATCTAATATGGTGTCTTAGATTAGTACACAGATTTTCTTCATTGTATAAATTAACTTGAATTAAAAAACTGTTAGAAACAGATAAGAAAATAATAAAGTACAACAAATTTATATATATATATATATATATATATATATATATATATATATATATATATATATATATTTAAATAAGCATATACCCCAGCCAAAATAGAAATTTCAATTAACAATAAGTTGCATAGAGCTGAAAGTTGTTTGAGAACATTACTACAAATAAAATATTAAAAGTTCCCACTAATCCCACATCTGCAAAAAAAAAAAAAATAAGGTCAAATGATAAAATTAAAATAAAAAAATAGTTTTTTATATTTTTCTGTCAAACAGTAAGTTTTATTATAAACAAGTTTCATGAAATTATAAAAGTTGCAACACAATTAAGTTTTTTTATGAAACTATCTACAAAAATTACACTAAAATTAAATTTTTCAGAATGTCTAACAGTAAAAAACCCTTAGATATATCTTTGATAAACACTATGAATCATTAACTTTATTATTTTTAGCACATCCTGCAAATGCGCAGACTCAGCATAAAGTGAAAGTCCTGATGTGTGGAAAGAAAGAAACATTTCTTTAATGCTGTTCATATATGCTTGCCAATTTCCCATGCATTCAACTTTTATAAACTCCTTTGCAATCAACACCATATTAAAATATTGAACCCATAGTTTTGCAGTAGGTTCTCGTTTTCCAAACTCCTTTAGTTTTTCATTGAGTTGATATAGTAATTCTTTACATATTTCCATCACTACTTTTGATATCATTATCATCACCACTTTTGATATCACTATCATTACCACTTTTGATATCATTATCATCACCACTTTTGATATCATTATCATTACCACTTTTGATATCATTATATGAAATTATGTTATTTATTCGTGGCATAAGATCTTCTTGCGTAACTTTTTGGGGTAAAAATTTGAATGTGAAGTCTGTTATTATTACCGAGCTTATTTACAAATATCACAAAGATTCTTAAGTTACGAAATATCACAAAGGTTCTAACATCACGAAATATCACGAAATATATTCTAACGCCACGAAATATCCCAAAATATATTCTAATGTCACAAAATGTCACAAAGATTGTCAAAAAAAAAAAACAAATCAAAGTTAATATGTCCTCAGAATGTCCAGAAATCCCCTCATTACTCTTCAAAAAAAAACTGAAAATCATTATTTTCAATGTATGTAAATATTTCTTACATCGCATAAGATTTATTTTGAGGACAAAATAAATCTGATGCGTAGATTTATTTTGAGGACAACCAATTTTTTCTTCAGTGGTTGGTCTTAAGAACGTATTATAACAACTGTTATGGTACTTAGCCTCAGCAGCAACTAAATCATATGCTCTGTGGCCATGGCACAGTGGTTAGAGCACTTGCTTATTAAGCAGGAGATCCAGGTTCGAAAGGAGCTCTGGCCATATTTTCGTGTCATGGTAAGGAAGGAGGCGTGAACTTCCTGATTAAATGCACTTCCACGGTGCTTCTTGGGGCACCTAAAAAAAATATTTATTCTCAATTTGTGCAGGAACACTTTTTCTATGTGATCAGACTGACTCCAAGCAACCTTCATAACTTTTTGATTCTTTGAATTCAAGAGTAGCAACTTTGTTTTACAACAAATATTTTGCTACAAAGTGTTGATAACATCAACACAAGAAGTATTTCATCACAGTATACTAAATATCGCTTATTTTATAACAAATGTTTTTCTACATGATTTTTTAAATAAGTTTTGTATTTTAAAGTAAGTTATCAATAATAAAAGTATTTCATCAGAGTACTCTAAATAATGATAAAAAAGAGTATAATAACTAAATAAATAATTTCTCTGCAGAGAAAAGCTGCAGGAACATATTCTTTACAGTAGACAATCAAATGCATAAGTGAAAAAAAATTTATAAATTTTATAAACTTTGCCTTTGAATAACTTTTTTTGCAGATGCGGGATCAGTGGGTACTTTTAAAATCTTATTTGTAATAATATCCCTAACGTCTGAAACACTTTTCAGCTCTATGGAAATTATTGTAAACCAACTTATGAGCATATCTCATATTTTAGTAAAAAATAAGTATAGATAAGCATACTGTTAAGCATTGATAAACATCAAGAAAAATTTATAAATTTATGAAGTCATTGCATGGCAAAACATAAACCACTATATTTAGAACAGAATGTCAAGTTGAAAAATTTTTTATTGAAATTTTTATTGAAATTTTTTTGAAAAAAAGTGCTTTGAAGTATTATGTCTCTATTGAAAAGTTTTTAATTATTTGTTTTTTAAAAACATGAGTTTAAAAATATCAATTTATTTTTGGTTGATTTTTAATAATATTTATAAACCATGTTAGGACTGGATAAAATTAATTATCATAATCAAGTCACAGGATTTGCTACAATGCTTGCCATTTGTAAGTACTTTTTCGTGTGTGCAAAAATGAAACCTCATACTTATCTCATTCTTTGACTGATTAATCATTGGATTCCAAGACACATTGACAAGATCTATTGGATTCCAAGACACATTGACAAGATCTATTGATTTATCTAAAAGTAAAACTAAAAGTAAATCTATTGATTTATCTAAAAGTGAAACTAATTATTAAAATTTTTTATTTTTATCTAAAAATTAATTTAAAAATAAATTAAAACTAATTAAATTAAAAAAAATTAATATAAAATTAAATCCTTAGAATCATCTTTGTCTTTAAATTTAATAGAAATAGGGTGTAATAGAAATAGGGTGTAGTGATTTGAAAAATCACTACACCCTATTTCTATAAATAGGGTGTAATAGAAAAAGGGTGTAGTGATTTGAAAAATTACTACACTGTATTTCTATAAATAGGGTGTAATAGAAATAGGGTGTAGTGATTTGAAAAATCACTACACCCTATTTCTATAAATAGGGTGTAATAGAAATAAGGTGTAGTGATTTGAAAAATCACTACACCCTATTTCTATAAATAGGGTGTAATAGAAATAGGGTGTAGTGATTTGAAAAATTTAATAGATATAGAATAGGGCGTAATGATTTAAAAATTTTTTGAAATAAGGTTGCCTGTGTCTCAAATTGTTGTCTTTTATTACAAAAATAATTTTTTTTAAAAAATAGAGTTCTTAAGGTTTCTCTAGAAATCAGATTTTTTGAAGAACCCTAATAAAAGAAAAACTTTTTTTTTCTTAACTAAGTTTAGAAAAGTTAATAAAAAACCTGGTGCTTAAAATATGCAGAATAAAATGCTAGCTTTGAAAATATTAATTTTATTTTATGAAAACTTTTTGTTTATAAAAAAATTCTGAAAATGTAGCTGAAACTGTTTCTTTTTTGCATTTTTGCAAAAAAGAAACAATTTTTGCTATTTATTTAAAGAAACTTAATTGAGAATGAAATTGTTTTTTTTGCGTATATAGTTAGATAGATATAGTTCTGCAGCTTATTAATACCCAGTTGACATAATTCTGAAAAAAAAAATTTCATTAATATTAGGACCCATCAAAATTTTTGTGTTAGAGAAGACAACTCAAGAACTCATTTAAATCCAAAAAAAAAATTGTGAGGCATGTGTAAAAAGTTGTTTCTTTATAAACTCATTTAAGTATTAACATCTGTATATTGAACAACCTTTTTTAAGTCTCAACCGTTATTTGGAAAACTACTGAGAATCTAATATTACAAATAATAAAGTTTTTCAAAAGAATGTCAAATTATAATCAAAAGAACCAAAATAAAAAAGTTGTATTTTTGTAAAAAGTGGTTAAAAAAAAGATTGTTAATAATTCTTAAAACAAGCGACATATTTTGCTTCAAAATATTTTCAAATTACATTTAATACAGATAATTTTACAAAATTTCTATCAAAACTTCTTCGCCAGGTTGACTTACTATTGAACTTGTAGTAATATTACCAAATAAATATATAACCTACATAAATTTATTTGGTTATATATTTATTTGTTGGTTATATAACTGTTGATTATATATTAAGTGATGAAGATGATTGTGATGACTGAATTATTATTATATATATTAGGATGATTATCTTTAAGGAAATTTTTAAAACAAAAATATGTACTTTGCAAAAATTTGAGGCAAATATGTAGATTAAATAGGTTTATAAATATGTAGATAATTATAAATTTATAAATATGTAGATAAATTTAAAAGTATGAAAATTTTTAAAATTTTAAAAGTATTGAATTTAAAAGTATGAAAATTTTATGTAGTTACATGAAGCCCATGCATTTCTATATGAAGTCTTTGCATTGCTTTAAATTAAAAAAAAAAAAAAAAAAAATACAACATTTCTAAGTAAACTTTTTCAATGTCATGTAGAGAACATAAAAAAAAGGAGAGGTCAGCATTAAGACTGAACTAAGTTTGGATAAATTTTCTGATTCTGATTGAACCAGGTCAGTGGGTATATATATATATAAAAAAACAAGTAGTATGCAACTCAAACCAAAATTCCTAAAAATATATGGAAATACAGGAAATGTTGCTTTAATAGAAACTGGTGAAAGATCTGATGGAGAATTCGAAGAGTTTCAATACAATCCTGAAAATATAGTAAATTATTCATTAAATTTTGTCAGATCAGGTGTATGGTCTTCATGATCACCCTGCTACTGGTATCATGTAATCCAGTACTACATGTCCCGTTTCCTGTTGCCTTGAGGGGTTTGCTTGTTTTTTTTAAGCGAAGTTCCCAAAAATTTAGTCAAATATGTAGATTAAATAGTAGATTAAGAATTTAAGTCCTTTGAGTTTGGTTCAGATCAGATCTTAGCTTGTCACATAAATTCCGATCTAAAAAATATGTTTTTAAAAAAAAGTTTTAAAATTCTACTTGATTTTTAAAATTTTGTTTTGAGTTTTTTTTTTGGCATTCTTCAACAAATTAAAATTTTTGGGAACTCGCTGACAAAATTTGAGGCAAATATGTAGATTAAATAGGTTTATAAATATGTAGATAATTATAAATTTATAAATATGTAGATAAATTTAAAAGTATGAAAATTTTTAAAATTTTAAAAGTATTGAATTTAAAAGTATAAAAATTTTATGTAGTTACATGAAGCACATGCATCTCTATATGAAGTCTTTGCATTGCTTTAAATTTTATTAATTTGCATTAAATACTTCTTTTTAACTTTACCAAATAAAAATTGAAAAATTTCATATGATTGAGTATTAATATGAATTACCAGAAAGATTTTACGTAAAAGTGTTTTGAAATCTTCTAAGAAGACTTCTAAGAAGACTTGAAAGATTATCATTAAAGCTAAGGCGCTATTTGTTGTTGTATGGCAATAAAAAAATTGAGAGTTATATAGATTTTCAAGGTATTTTTAGTTACCTAATAATAAGTTATGCTCAATTATTCACTTTTTATCTAAATATCAACAACATTCACATCACACCACTTTATTTTGTAAAATACTAATTTTTTCTTGATGTTAATTTATACTATACTTGATGTTAACTGTTATAATGTTGTTATTGTTTATACTATTTTATTAAACTTATATTATTTAATAACTCAACATCCAATGAGCAAGGATATTTTGCAACACTTTAAATAATGTCAATCAAATTTGCCATATGAATTTACAAAAAAGTTGAAAATTCTATACTGTCCTTCAAAATCAAACATGAAAGTTGATAGATGTCAACAAACAGAACGTCAATGTATCATGGTTAAAATAAAACACCTTTAAAGCATTAAAAGCATGATTAAAGCAGGATTTCCAATAGTCAGCGAGTTGCCAAAAATTTTAATTTGTTGAAGAATGCCAAAAAAAAAACTCAAAACAAAATTTTAAAAATCAAGTAGAATTTTAAAACTTTTTTTTAAAAACATATTTTTTAGATCAGAATTTATGTGACAAGCTAAGATCTGATCTGAACCAAACTCAAAGGACTTAAATTCTTCGATGATCTTCGATGATCAAGATGGTTCTTCGATGATCTTCGATGTTCTTCGATGATCAAGATGGTTCTTCAATGATCTTCGATGATCAAGATGGTTCAATAAATTATCATTTGGGTTCTTTGTACTCTAAATTTACTGATAAAGTTATTTTTTTTTTTGCCTGTCAGAGTCTGGATGATTTAATTTATATTTTTCTCAATTTGAGAATTTAAAGGTTTTATAAATTATTATTTTTTGGCAGTTTCATGTGTGATCTCTTATGTGCTGGTCCTAGCAGCCACTGGGTGCAATATTGCATTACTTTACCCTTAAACTATAAAGAGAGAAACATTAGGATAATAAATATTGATTAAACAAACTTAATTTTTTTTTTAACTCAACTGATTTTCACCAGCACATATAAGATAACGATTATTAACTTATTTAAAATAAATTTAAACTTATTTAAAATAAATTTAAACTTATTTAAAATAAATTTAAACTTATTTAAAATAAATTTAAACTTATTTAAAATAAATTTAAACTTATGTTAAAACTCTTGTATTTTTCCTTTCATGCTAATCTGCAATTTATAAAAATTAAAATTAAAAATCAAAATTAAAATTAATCTATTTTTAAATAGAAAGCTTAAATAAAAAATAAAAATCAGAAAAATAAAGAAATACAACATTTCTAAGTAAACTTTTTCAATATTATGTAGAGAACATAAAAAAAAGGAGAGGTCAGCATTAAGACTGAACTAAGTTTGGATAAATTTTCTGATTCTGATTGAACCAGGTCAGTGGGTATATATATATATATAAAAACAAGTAGTATGCAACTCAAACCAAAATTCCTAAAAGTATATGGAAATACAGGAAATGTTGCTTTAATAGAAACTGGTGAAAGATCTGATGGAGAATTCGAAGAGTTTCAATACAATCCTGAAAATATAGTAAATTATTCATTAAATTTTGTCAGATCAGGTGTATGGTCTTCATGATCACCCTGCTACTGGTATCATGTAATCCAGTACTACATGTCCCGTTTCCTGTTGCCTTGAGGGGTTTGCTTGTTTTTTTAAGCGAAGACTAGGAGTAACAAACTCTGACATAAAAATCCATTAACTAGGGGCTCTTGGTATTGGACTAGAGATAGTGTGTCCATTAAAATACTAATCTTGGGCAGATATTAACTGCATCCAACTACTGTCTTGTAGAAGGCCTCCTAGGCAAAAACTTAAGGGGTATGCAGAATAATTCTGCTAACTAGCCTTGAACCTATTCTTCATCAATTAAGCTGGCGTAGATGTAAACCTGTGTTACATTGTCTCCTGCCTAGGATAATAAATGCTGAGTCTTCTTGACTCTACTCATAGAATTTTGTTTGTGCTTCTGATAGTGGCTATGCAACTCCTCCTGTTATCTCCTAATGAGGGTAAAGCTTTAAAACTCAGTTTAATGGATCTGAGACCAGTTGATAATAAGGTTTCATGAACTCTGTAGTAGGTCTCAGATAGACTGATTCCATCAACAGCTGTAAAATATCAGAGTATTAACGGTGTTAATATTGCGCATGAATAGTGCCCCTGTTAATATGGTAAACATGGTCGAGGCCACACAGAGAGCCCTA